ACATAAAACATAGGATAGTGCAAGTTGTAGCTCGTGAACTACAGCATGGGACGAAAGTGTAGTGCTCTATCATTAATTGTGGACCATTGGGACTAGACATTCTCAAAGGTTTATCCAAACTTCCAAGTCTTCAATTCCTTCTGGAAGGAGGACGGTGTGGAGGCCTTCCTAATCTCTCTAGGGAGGGTGTTCCAAATCTGGGGGCCACCACCGAGAAGGCCCTCTCCCTTGTCCCCACCAACTTGTGACGGTGGCGGGACTACAAGGAGGGCCTCCCAGAAGACAACATAAGACAATCTTAAGTTGTCTTCTTGGGGATTTTTGTTGTTTGGATGACATCATCAAGGGATTTGGAGTGAGGAGCCACTAATGAGCAGATGCCTGCTGACTCTATATATTTCTCCTTGAAGTTAAGCTGTAAAGATGCTGAACCCAGTGTCTTTAGCAGGTAATGGGCTGGATGAAAACCAATAGCCTGGAACTGAAGTGAAACAAGATGGAATGGCTGTCTCAGTCTGATTTGCCTTATAGGGTTGTCCTGTGAAAAATATCCATGTCTAGCATCTTGAACTTGCTGGAAGACATTTGTTTATGACATATAACTAATAAACACAAGTGCACACTGAGTGAAACTTACCAATCTCTTTGGACTTAATATCTCAATATGCCTAGAACTGCATCTTGTGTCCACTTCGATGCCTCATGTGACCCATAGCCACTGAGGATGATGCTAACTATTATTTCAATTATCACACACTAATTCACCCATATCACATTTCTCTGGAATCTGTTACTTGGCAAAGCTGGAGAGAAAATTTTGGAGATTTGCTTTTATGCTTGGAGGCAGATAGGCTTTATCACGTAGTCTTCACTTCTGTAAAGCTTAAAGGACCTCAAAAATGTAATTTCAAAAGTAATTGCTGCTTCCAGCCTCTTATTTTTTAAAACAAACACAAATGTACAACTCTTACCAAGAAGTATTTTAAAACTAAAAACTGCCATATTTTAATTTGGTGCTTCCGAAAGAATTAAAGCCAACTGGCAGTATTTCCCAATGGCGCCATAAGAAAGGTATATTTTGTCCTGTTCTGAAGACATGATTTTGAGGGTGATTCTTTCTGAGCAGCTGCCAAACTATGCTTAGATTTATTTTGCTGGACAATCCAAGTCAGTGGGAACAAATTTCTTGCAGTTTTCAGGCTCAGTCACTGCTTCTTAAGAAGATTTTGGTTCCACAGCAGGAAAGGAGTTTGTACTAAAAGTGTTGCCAAGCAGACAAAGGCTTTCTGCTGTGATTTTATTAGTGTTTCACAGATGGGAAGGAGTGACTCTGTGGCCTTGACAGAGGTAGGATAGAGAAAAAAGAGAACAGTTGGTGCTCCTTGGGGGAGTGCTTTGCCTTGGAGCTATCTCAGTCCTCCCTTTTCTCTTCTCAGTGTTTGGAGTGGGTGTTCTTTATTCTTTCAGAAGCGATAGCAGGTGTGCAGAGAAAACAACATGAGAGCAAGGGAGGGAAGGAGAGAAAGTAATGAGCCAGATAGACACAAAATGTGTGAGCTGGCTAGAAAAACTGAGTATGGTAAAGTTCATTTTAGACTGCAATTCCCAGATAGTGCTGGCTATGCCAGCTGAAGGATTCTCAGGGTTGCAAGCTTAAAAAATAACTCTTCCAGCTTCCATTTGAGCCACCACATCAGCAGCCAAATATGATAGCTTGCCAATTTGCTCCAGTTTTAGCTGTTCCAGATATACACCACATACCAAAACATATCAAGATTTTTAATTTAAATTGTATTAAGTATTAGCTGATTCTTTTTTGTGAGCTTCTCCTGGAGATAGGTGGCACATAGATAGAATGAATATATACCATAAATTTGTCTCAGATGGGCTGTCAAATGCAACCTCTGCAGTCATCTCGATTAGTGAGAGTTTGTAACAGTCCATTATAAAGTTTACAATATCTGTAAATGAAATTTGGGAAAGGCACTATACAAATAGCATAATATATATGTAAAACAATAATAATAATAATAATAATAATAATAATCATCATCATCATCATCATCATCATCTTTATTTATATATTGCCTCCTCTCCAAACAAGACTTGGAGCAGCTTACAAAAAATAGATCACAGTGCAAAATCAAAGTGAAAGTTAGACCTAATACATAAATGGCAGTATCAAAAAAATAAATAAACAGGAATAACAATATTGTAGTGAAAACACCAATTGACATTCCTGCTTGATTAAAAAAATCTATTTCTCAGAAATGCCTGCATCGCAGCAGTGACCCTCTCGCACCCTGATATTTGGGACTAGAATTCCTGTAATTTGTTATTACTGACCATGTTGACTAGGTCTTCTGGGAGTTGGTTCAAAACAGACAGAGAACATCATGTTCTCCACATCTGGCCTATATGATGTATACCATCAGTGTGTTCTCTCCACATGAGGACTGACTGAGAGGTAGAGTACAGCTGCCACTGAACTAGAAAGATCACTGTTACTGAGCTGGCGGTCAAAGGGGGATTTCTGATGCTGCCTACTCCAGCCTCTACCCCACTTCCCCATACTGTCTCCTTGAAGGGGGAATTTGTATTACTTGTCTATGAGTATTAGGTTGAATTAGTTCCTTCTATCCATATAAAATTATTGATCCAATGGAAGATTCTCTCTGGCAGATGGGGGAAGGCAAACAGTAATTTGCACCAACTCTTCTCTCTCCAGCAGAGTACTCCATTAATCATTGTTTTAAAAATTGCTGGTAAAAGTGAAATGTAAATTTAAATCTGAAACTTCTACCAAGGCCTTAAATTTTTTTTAAAGGGAGATTTTGCCTTTCCAAAAGCACTGAAGGAAAGTATAGGTCCAGCATATAGCAAACTGGACATTACAATGAGTTCCCTCCCATCCACGTTTCCATGCACCCATAATGTACAGGATGGGAAGATATGAGGCAAGGAAATATATTCAACCTATAGGCCTATTTATGACCTTTATAGCACTGCTGGAACCTAATCTCAACAGCTCCAGCCAACATGCCCAATATTAGGGGAAGATGGTAGTCTGGCAAAAGCTGGAAGACCAAAGGTTGTCCATCACTAGTTTGCAACCTTTCCATTCACACAAGGGACATAAATACAAACCTACAAAAATGCCCTTGATTGATAAAACTTATACTATGTGAAGAGTTGGAAATTAAGACCATTTTTTTCCTTCAACTTTTTCTTTTGTTCAGCCTTTTAACTTCTCTATGAAAGACTCATCTGGCTCTCTGCTTTAGAAAGCTGTATGACTATCAGCATCCTCCACCTCCACAGATTGCTCCATCTTGGCATAATATGACTTCATACCAGCTGCAAATGCATTCTCACATAGTCAGTTAAAAGAAATGTCTAAATAATTCTTCAAGGACTTTGTGGCGATATACTGTATTATCTCACTTAAAGATCTCAGCTGTGCCATATCGGAAGAGAAGTATAAACTTGCCTCCCTTTAAAAAAAAAAAGACATATAATGCTCACTATCAAAGAAAATGCTGGTCATTTGACAGAAAATGTCAACCCTTTATCTTCTTTACCTTATCTGGTAGCCTCTGAACATTATATTACAACTTCTCTTGCTTCTGTTCAGAAGGCCACTTTCCAGGCTGGAGAATGTAAATGATATAGGACTATTGGGCGAGGAAGGCTAATCTACACAATCTTTCTTACCAAATGGGTAGCAGAGCCTACCCACAGTGAAATGAATAAATTAAAAAAGGAAACAAGAACTCGTGAGCCTGGGTTCAGACATACATTTTCCATCCTTCCATACCAAGTGTTAAAGTGGTATTTGAATTTTATTCCATGTTAAGCTGCCAAACTTCTCAGCATAGCAGGATTGCAATTTCTAGAATGGATGATTACTTCTTAAATTGTGCAGCAGCTGTAGTCTTGTTCCAGCACAGGTAACTTGATAATTGCACAGACATAATAAGGGAGGCAGGGACATCTCTGTAAACAAATAGGTTAGGTGAAATATTGTCAGACTGATTCTCAAGCAGTTTCTTGTGTAGTCATTTCATCCTGAAGAGCAAAACCATAGTGTCAAAGCAGTATTACTAGGAACAGTTAGTCTCAAAGCATTTTAAAGACAAGTTAAGGTGCCAAGAAATATAAACCTATATTCTCTTACAAATATATTCTAGTAATTAGAGAGCAGAAGAGTCTTTTGTAGAAGAACAGTACCTACAACAGACATAAAATAATGTAGTTGTCTGTTGCAGCTGAAAGCAATGTCTGACTTTCTCCTCTGATACGTGTTGTTACAGAAACCCGAAAAGCCAGTTTGACTAGAGAACATGGCAAGACTATAAAAAGTAAGTGTTATTATCTGCAGGCAATGATAGGCAATGACACAACATGGCATGCCCATATCTTAGTTCCTCTTTATAAAAAATGGGGGCACATCTGCTCTTCAACATGTACATCCTGGACATTTATTTGAAATAACTTCATAGCTCTCTTGGAAGTCCTTCTGAATCAAATACAGAAAGCACAAAGATTAACATGCCTACAAGTTTAAAAAATGCAAATTAAAGTGTATGCATACAGAGATAAGTTAATGTTGCTACTGGAAGACCCAACAGATGAGATAATAATAAGATAATAATAATATATTATATTGTTATCATAACATAATAATATTATGATTGCATTGACGCCAAGTAAGATTCACCACTGTTTTTCACTTCCTTAATCTCTGGCAATTTCTGACAACATAAAACTTCAGTTGAGCATTCGGAAGTACAATTTAGGAATTCAAATTAAAGGGTAGACAAAGTGACCAAGGAAATGTAAATATAGGACTTTTAGGTGTGAGCAGTTTTCTCCAGAAATCAGATCTCCTTGTTATAGTTAAACAATTAAAAGATATGGGCATCATTTTGGAGTCAGATTTATTAGAACAAAACTATTCAAGATTCCATCTGGATAAGAAATGCTATATACTCAGTACATATGGGTATCAAGTCATTTATTATAAGGACATAAGACATAAAATATTCCAGTGTGTTTTTTATCTTTTATATAATGTGAAAGTTCCCCTTCGACATTTAATCTTTCAATCTAGATATCCTTGCCTTTATAACTTGCTCTTACCACCATACTTCCTTTATCTCATGAGACAACACTCTGCCTGCACCTTTCCTGTTTCATCAATTTCTTCTTGTCTTCTAGCTCTCTCTTATTTCTCATTTTCATTCTTTCTCCATCTTATCAGGAGGAACCTACTTTTCAGAAAAGCTATGAGGCAATACTAGTGCAATGAAAATATTGCTTTCAAATATTTTATTCACTTTCTTCTCTCAAGTGTAGCAATATTTATACTAGGGTTAGGAAACTTCCAGGGATCAGGGCACACAATTTTGACTAGAAATGCTCTCCTATCTCCCTTTTTCTATGTTTATGCCTTCCAAGGCTATTTTGACTTTAGGACAGGGCTTTCATAGCCAGGAAATATATGGGATGTTGATTTGTTTTTCTTCCTGTGTAGAAAAAGGCCTCTACTGAACCTAGAATTGTCTGAGGGATATGAAATCACACCCCAATATATTGGGGGTGCTTCTGAATATCAAGAACAGCTGGGGATGACATACCATTTATCGTCTGCACACTCCTCATGTTTCATCAACCCTGTTGAAATTTCATTACTTTGAATGTTTCACAGAAACCATGGGTCTGTCACATGGAATAATGCATTTCAAGGCATTCAATATTTTCCTGATGAAGATTTTAAAAATACTGTGCAATATATCTTTTCACCTTAGTAAAATGACTTGCACTGATTGACTGTGGGATCTCTCAGAAGGAACTGCTTTTTGAAGATATAGACAACATCAGTATAAACTTCAATTTCAAAGCAATCTGCAGACAAGACCCTCTTTGTAGTCTCTGCTTCCTCAGTATGAATGCCAGATTCAATGTGTTTGCATACTTGGTTGATAAAAAACCTCAGTCAAATCTCAAATGTAAAGTAATGGAATACAGAACTATTTGCAAACCAGATGAACAAAAAGTATAACAAAGCATTTTTACTGTGTCGGAAATTAAGCTTACAGATATACAAATGTACTATTTGAAGTCATATACTGCATTCACTTACACTGAAGTATTGTATAATTCTTATCCCAACTCATCTTTGTTTCTTATGTAAACCCAGAAAAACACTTTTACACTGTACAATTCATGTGATCAAGCAATATCTGTGTTTCTTGCAGACCAAAATGAATTTACAAGTCATCATAACTGTTTGTTTTTTAAAACACCACAGCAACTCTTTTCATAAACAACAACAATTAATGCAAATAATATCATTTGAATATGGCCAGGAGAAAAACCATCAACTATAGGCACTGGCCAAAACAAATATTCTAAATATCAGATGTTAAATTAAATAAATTAAATATCTAAATTCTGGACATCCGTAATATTATTGTAAGATTGCATGGCACTGCTAACAATAGTACACATGCTTACAAGAGCCATTCTTTTGCCAATGTACTCCTCAAAAAACCCTAAAATATTTCAATTTTATTCAACTGACGTTTAAATACTGTGCTGCCACTTTTGCCAAAACAACAAAAGCCGACAAATTCTCCAAGTGTGCCTACCACATCCGACAAAAGAAATACATATTAAAAGACTTGTAAAAGGTTAAGATCCATTGCTTTACTTCACAAATACAGCAGTACTCTGCCAGGAGTTAACCTTTTCCCTTGATGCCTTATTTCCTTGCCTGTCAGACTATGGGGAATGAGCTAAGACAAAATCATAACCATCAAAGTCATAATCATTCAAGCAAGAATTCCAACACAAAAGAAGTGATATCAAATCAGCACCACTTCGTTCACTCCACTTTGCTTAGAATATCTGCACACACTGCAGGAATAATTATCTAAGGATTCCTCATTCCTCCAGAAGTGTTGCAGGAAATAGTCCAGCCCACAGTTATAAAAGTGCCTTGTGAAGAATCTTGTAAATCACAGCTTCTTTGAATAAAACGTATAGGAGTCAATATATCAACTTCAACCTCTTGGCCAAAATCCCCATGCTGCTCCAGGCAGCAACAAAGCAATGACTACAGAGGAGAAGAGATTCACTGCATTATTATCCAGGATAGGTTTTCCAGATATGTGCTTTGCGCTTTTGGTCGGATGGTTGACAACCATTCCTGTATGAGTGTCAAAACCTGAGAAAAGAAGAAAATAAAACTTAAAAATCAATTACTCAGGAAGTACATTTTCTTCCAACAATAGATATGATATCATTAAGTATATATAAAAGCCCCAAACTGAGAACTAGTGGAGACAAGGCACTCATTTAATACTGCAATTTAATTTTGATCAATTTAATCAATAGGCAGTAACTCTATCCCTGCATGCCATGTTAACAGTCCTTCTGAACTCATTTCTCACTGTGAAAGTACACTGAGTGCTAATATTGCAGAATGTCTTTAATAATACCAGCTATTAAAGTTCAGGGAGTTTATCTAACAGTAATAACAATAACAATAACAATAATAATAATAATAATAATTTATTTGTATTCTACCCTAACTCCCCAAGGGGACTCAGGGCGGATTCCAGCATGCACACCACAAAGGCAAACATTCAATGCCTATAAATAACAAAACACAGATAAAGGTAAAGGCTTCCCCTTCTGGCTCTGAGAGGTGGTGCTCATCTCCATTTCTAAGTCGAAGAGCCTGCGTCATCTGTAGACACCTCCTAGGTAATATGGCCAGCATGACTACATGGAGCACTATTTACCTCCCCGCCAAGGTGGTAAGTATTGATCTACTCACATTTGCATGTTTTCAAATGGCTAGGTTGGCAGAAGCTGGGGCTAACAGTGGAAGCTCACCCCATCCTGCCAACTCAAACCACCAACCTTCCGGTCAACAAGTTCAGCTTGTCAGGGGTTCAGCAGCACCATCACGGCCCCTTATGACTTAGCTCTGCACACCTCAATTATATCCAAGATGGATTACTACAATGTGTTCTACATTGGGCAGCCTTTGATGATGACTGAGAATCTTTAATTGGTAAAGAATGCGACTGCTTAAATTAATGGTCTGATTATGTTACTTCAATCCTGTTTCAACTGCACTGATCTCAGATGTGTCTGATGCAAGATTTCTAAACTGCCAAATGCTTTAGACCCAGACTGTTTAAAGAAAAATCCACAACCTTATGCAACTGGTCATGATTTAATATGCAAAATTCAGCACTTTGGAAGTCCCGCACACCAGTTTATCAGTAACAGCAGTAAAATGATGGGCAACACAGACAGGGCTACCAATGACGTTAAGCCTAAGAAAGCTACAGCCAAAAAAAAAATATGGCTGGCTCAAAGAGAAACTGAATATCTAATCAAGGGATTGAAATTTTGGGGACTCCTGCCTCTATCAGGTGGTCGACTGCTCCTTTCAGGTGAAAGATTGCTCCTTCAGTCTACTTGAGAAGAACTATTTAATAGCTTATGTTTCCATTTCTGTTGGCTAAGCCAGACTATTCGTGTAGCATTTTCCAGTCCTGTTTCAGATAATGAGAACTTTGTGATTTGTGTTATTTCAACTATATTACTGCATTCAACCAAAATCCTTCCAACATTACTTACTACCACTACCTAAATTCAACTTCAAACCCTTGTGATGCAACAATATAAGCCAAAATGCAAGAAATTCCAAAGGATCAGAAATGCGCAAGTCCTTGAAGTTGTTGATAACTTCAAGTTTTAAAGAGGTTATAATATTTTATACTAAATTTTAACTATTTTTGAGAAAACACTACTTACCACTGTATTGCATTGTTGCTCCTAAATAAGAATCAATGATAGAACCTAGTAAACCAGCCAGTCCACCAAACACAATAATGGGCCACTGTGGCGCAGAAATATCCAGGTCATTGACAAAAATCAACTGGGAGATGAAATAAGCTACGCCTACAGATGTGCCACCAAGCACACTGGAGATCAGGCCTATTAAACTAACACCGCCATTGGTACCTAAAACAAAGTTAAAAATCCATCAGAACTGGCACAGTAATAAGCTTTTCAGAACATGCATTCAACAGAATTGAAGGAAAATTAAATGTATATTCATAACACATATTTCAGCAACAAAGGAAAAAATCTTCCTGTGCTGTAAAAAGAATACAAATCAATTGCTTTTCTTTCTGAAAACAGCACATTACTGTTAGAAGCAAACAAGAATAATTTCAATAATATTGATATGTAAAGACATGTAGTGCACTGTAATATAATAATAATAATAATAATAATAATAATAATAATAATAATAATAATTTTTATTTATACCCTGCCCCTTCTCCCTGAAAGGACTTGAGGCGGCTTACAACAATCAACAGATACAGAAAATAATATAGACAATAGACAACAATAAACAATTATCACTTAACACAATTGGAATACATAATAATATTAATATTAATAAATAACTGATTAAAAGCTATTTTCCCTCTTCTTTTACTTGTACTACTTTTGCTCTATGCTTTTAATATTTAAGTAGTTTTGATTTTATAAGCAATTTAATAAAATTTTAATCTTCATTTTTTGTATGCTTTTCACTACATGTTGTAAAAAAGGTCAGGCATCAATAAAGTGATTGACTGCAAGTTCTAAATACAATGCAGACATACTAGTGAATCTTTTGCTGTATCAGTGTCAAAGTAGATTTAGATCAGGCATGGGCAAACATTGGCCCTTCAGGTGTTTTGGCCTTCAACTCCCACAACTCCTAACAGTTAGGAATTGTGGGAATTGAAGTTCAAAGCACCTGGAAGGCTGAATGTTGCCCCTGCCTGATTTAGACCTGTAAGGAAGTTATTGAAACTAGGTATATGTATTTGAACTGTTTAACTATTTGTTTGGTAACAGTAGCTGAAGACTAGAACTGACTGGTTGTATCCACTGTGGCGTTGCCAAGGAGACCAGGCAGAGGAGAGTGGAAAGTGGGCGGAGCCTAGCAAGAGAAATCCATCTGCGTTTTAAAAAAGAAGCAGTTAGGTTAGGGTTTAGGTTCCGAGGAGTGAGGAGTGAGGGTTTAGGTTTAGAGGAGTTGGTAGAGGAAAGGATTAGGAGGTTGTAGCTGAAAGAGAGTAAATTGTGAAGCAAAGTTTCGAGGCTTTGGAAAGCCAGATTAAGCTACTGGAAGTTTCTTAGCCTAGAGAGGCTGATAAGGGAAACGAAGCCAGTATTCCTTTAGTCTAAGGAAAGGCTAAAGAATAATCTTATTAAGTATCTGATCAAGGGAGGATCAGATAAGGGAGACATCCCTGTATTGAAACTTTGTTTTGTAATAAGTGCTTCACCTCAGGAAGATACTGTGTAACCTGAAAGAGTGTAACATTCAACTAACCAAGCATTGTTCTAAGTTCTATAACAAAAGTTACGTCTTGCAACCACACGCTGTGTACTTAATAAAATTGTTAACTTTTATTTGAAGATTGCCTCAGCTCCGTCTATTCTGTGTACCAAGTGCCATTTCTCACAATATTACAACTTACCTCACATGGTGGCAGAAACGCAGGGAAAAGTAACCAAATGAAACTACATTCTTCTCCCCAGTCACGCTACAGTATATACAGTGTAATTACTACTAAGTTATTACTTTCTTAATAAAGGAGGAGGTGCAATTGAACAGCCTTCCTTCCAACTTGATGGTAAATTTGGTTCCTAATCGGCAACCTCCATTGCAAATCGGCCAGTTCTTTTTAGAATTGGGAACTGGGGTGAAATCTCCTGAATACTGGATCCTTTCAAATTGGAGGCAACAATAAATTATCCCTCAGCTCCCTTGCTTCTTCGCAAGACCATTGGTTCAAACACTAGGATTCTGATGACTGGATGTCATGACTATACATTGCCAAGGGAGTG